TTGCATGGGGACTTGCATATAAGACCAGCTGTGGCACTATTAAAAGTGAGTCCTGCTTAACCTTCAACACATAGCTTGGTCTCGTGATTGTAGGGGAACTGCTATATCACTACTAGCTCTTATAAGAGCTATACAGCTATACTCTCCTAGAGGAGAGGTGTTTCCCACATGGTACTGAATATCAGAGGTTGGTCCAGGGTGGGAGGAAGATGGCGAGATCCCAGCTAAGCTAAGGCAGAAGTGGAGTCTGCGGTGCTTGTGGTGTCCGGTGCTGTGCCAGGTCCTCAGCATCAGCTAGGAAGTAACTGTTGGTGGAGGTGCCCAGTTGGGTGCCAGGTGATCTGTTACAACAGTGATCTCAAGCATATCTCAAATTCCACCAAGGCTTGGTTGCAGAAGAAAAGATAACGTAGGTCATGAATTAGCAAACTCAATCAATCTGGGCTGCTTCACACATATATGAGCGACTAAGAAATAGTACAAAATATGTAGAATATACAAAGGTGTGAGCGCTCCTTAAAAAAAATTATGAAAAGTCAAAATAAACACAATAATATTTAATATGTATAAATAAAGGACATATAAATATATAAGACTCACTTGGCTCTAAAAGGCTTATTGACATAGATGTGGGCTTGAAAGTAAAATAGAACTCATAATAAAAACTCAAAATAGAATACTCAGAGACCCTTCTGGCAACACTGCTTAAAACTGTTGCCAGACAAGATCTCAGTAAGAGATAAATAGTATCCATTCTAAACACTGTGTCAAAGAGCTCTTTCACAGCCTAGTAGCAAGCAGGGGAATCTCACCTAAATGGTGAGATGAACAGTATGCTAAAACCCACAAAAAATATAAGATATAAACGACGGGCTGAACAGTAAAGTTGTATATGAATAAGACAGGTCAAAAGGACTAAAAATGTAATTAAAAGAGTAGAAGCAAACTGAGTACTTATCCATGGGGGCCCTCTCCACAAATCCGGGATGGTGCTCCAATTTCAGTTCGTAGATAAGTGCAGATGTGTATTATTCAGAGGAGTAAAACAGCGAGCTCAACCCCTCTGCCCTTGCCTGTGAGGCGGCACCTGATGAGTGCAGGGTTATGACAGATCCTCTCTTGGACGTACTCACTGTGCTTCTATTTTGGTCAAGGACGGGGGAGAACAGACAGCTGTTGTCTTGTGGTATGCCACGGCCGGTAGCTTCGGAAAAGGCTGCGGCTGCCTTAAAGGAGCAGAAGTCAAATATAGAATGTAATGAAGGGGATAACAAAGTCTACGCATTTCGTCTATTGAAGACTTTATCAAGACAGATGTTACCACTTAGTGTCCCATGTCTTAAATCCCCCTCGGAAAACGGTGAGTGCATCCGAGAGACGACCTGTCATCACCCTGCACTCATCATGTCCCGCATCACAGGCAAGGGCAGAGGGGTTGAGCTCACTGTTTTACTCCTCTGAAACGCTGAAACGCATAAGGCCCATCTTGACTACCAATGCTGATCAAAATTCAGCGTCACTTCCGATATGACGTGTGTGTTCCAGCTTAGTAACAGGAAATGGACACTTTAACCACACCAGGAAGCAATCTCCAATTAACAATATCATATAAGAACTCGGACTTGTATGGACATACTACACTTCTGATAAGCCTTTGAAGAGGTGAAACGCGTAAAGTGGGGTCCAGTTTTAATTAATTTTTTTGTTTTTATCTCTTATATGTAAAAAAAAAGTTAACTTTTATTATACTTTTTACTATTCATTTATCTTGCTTCTGGATACCTTCATTATTATTATTATTATGTTATTATTTATATAGTGCCAACAAATTCCGCAGCGCTTTACAGTGGGTGGACGAACAAACATGTAGTTGTAACCAGACAAGTTGGACACACAGGAACAGAGAGGTTGAGGGCCCTGCTCAATGAGCTTACATGCTAGAGGGAGTGGGGCAAAATGGATAGTATTAGATTAATGACAGTTGCAAAAGAGGAATAAGTCGGGAGCTATTAATAGTTTAATTGATACGCTTTTATGAAGAAGTGGGTTTTAAATGATATTTTTATAGGTGTGGAGACTGGGTGAGCATCTAACGGAGGAGGGAAGTGAGTTCCACAAGAATGGTGCAGCCCTGGAGAAGTCTTGAAGGTGAGCATCAGAGGTGGGAGTACGGACAAAAGATAGACATAAGTCTTCAGCAGAGTGAAAGGGCCTAGACGAGATATACTTGTGTATTAGGGAGGATAGATAGGTGGGGGAAGTATTATGTAGAGATTTGAAAGCAAGAACCATAATTTTAAATTGAGCCCTATATCTTACAGGAAGCCAATGTAGGGACTGACAGAAGGGTGAGGCGTGGGAGGTGCGGTTGGACAGGAAGATGAGCCTCGCCGCCGCATTCATTATGGACTGTAACGGCACAAGTTAGGAGCACGTAAGACCACTGAGAAGTGGATTACAGTTTTGAGTGGATTTGGCGATAGACTGAACATGAGGTGTGAAGGAGAGGTGGAGTCAAAGAGAACACCTAGGCAGCGAGCCTGTGTGGTGGAGCTGATGGTAGCACCGTTGACTTGGATGGAGACAGACACAGGAGTAGCAACACTTGAGGGAGAAAAGACCAGTATTTCAGTTTTGGACAAGTTGAGTTTAAGGAAGTGAGCAGCCATCCAGTTAGAAAGAGCAGAGAGGCAGTCAGAGACGGGTTTATACGGCCCATGCTGGTTATACTAGAGCAAGTCCTGTTCTAAGTGCGTTTTTATTTCAACTTGATTCCAAATAGTACTTACTATTGGAGTTTCTTCCTTTCTCTATTTCCATATATGCTCTGCATATTACGCTGAACTTGGAGAATCGTTGATGTTCCATTACCATCATCTATCCTAAGACGGGGATCATACCGTCCATGTGCACAACGGTAGAGCTCCAAGTTAGCTCTAGTAAATATGAGTGTGTAGTGTAGAAGAACTAGAACTATACATTCATATCACCAGCTATATTGCACTATTATTATTATTTTTTGCTTTGAGTTCAATAATATTGGAAAAATCCAACTACCAATGTATGTATAAATTCACAGTATAACGCTGGGCAATGTATATTCTATCTCTCTTTGTGTTTCTGTTTACTGATTAAGGTTTGTGAATCCTTATACCACTTATCGCTGCCTGAGTAATTTTGTTTCAACTATAGTGAGCACCTATTATTTTGTTACACCATCTATATCATGCATACAGTCATCCAGAACTTCTGTATAAAATCACATTAGCCACGTGGATTTTTATTTGATCAATATGATCATGTAAGTGTTTTCCTGTTAAACATTTAAAAAATATATACTCGTCAATATTGAAAAATAGTTATATAAGAATATGTCACTGAATCTATTCCTTAATTATTTAAAACATGCATTAAGAAAGGGCATGTGATTTGGAAAAATACACAAAAATGTGTTTTCAATGTATATAGGCTATGTATCTGTCCATCAGGGTTATTCACACATTAAGAATCGTCAGACATTCAAAGTGAACTCAAAGCAAATTACAATTTTATTTTTGTATTTATATTACCACATCACCATAGAGATAATCAACAATAATGTACCACAATCATTTGAACAACATAAAGAACATAATAGGTATGCATGAAAATTGGTGCCGTGAAAGGATTTTTTGAAAAGAAATATGATTTGCATAAAGAGCAGAGTTAAGTTTGAAAATGTGAATTAACACCAATGAGGCACACAATCTAAAAAAACAAATCAACACTCAAAAGGTAAGCATGCACATACAAAGTAAGTTGCTGCAGTACAGCCACAGGCTAGCTTATGTCATGAATCGGGAAGGGCATACAGTAAAAGCTGTTTGGATGTAAAGGCATGGCAGACCCACCACAACATTGCCTTGATGAACTGCAGACAACAACTGGTCAAAACCCAGACACCAACCACAGCCCACATATTTAATCCACTAATCAGGATAACCCATGCGCCTGAATCATTTAAATGGGAAGGTCCCATCTTGGACCCCCTGAATAGGAGTTAGCATCTTCTACAGGGATGCGGAGGGTGCCCAGAGGGATGGGGAGTATCTGACAGCCACCATATTAGGCTGGGACACATGTATTAGGCCCACTAAAGAACATTCTGGTGGTAGGGTAGATCAAATAGTCTTTCTTAAATATTTCACCAGGTGCTGCACCAGACAGTAAAGATATTGGTCACTCCACCTACCAGAAGCCCCAATTAGGCTTGCAACACAGGGGCCACTGAGAGCCCTCGCTCTTGGAAAGCAGAAGAAAGTGGAGCTGCCTGTTACTCTTGTGGCTAAGCACACAGATATTGGTTAATTGCGCTTCAATAAGGAAAATAGATGAAAGATTCTCCAATAGAGGTTAGCTCCACAAGGGTGCGACCACGTGGCACTGCAGTCAAGCCTGGTCATAATAACCAAAATGAAAAAAATAAGCTATGTTTTAAGTCTACCTACTTTGGCCTTAAATTTGAAATTCACTTTAAATTCCCAACAGTTTATATTTTAGTGAGCAACCATGTTTGAGAATTATAGAATGTAAAAAATGAGAAACCAGTGCACTCCCAATCTACTAAACAGCTACTTTGGTGCTGACATATTTTGTAAGTTTTATTAAAAACACACAATTTAGACAAAAAACAATGGGGATTTAGTTACATTATATGATCATACATTGCATAAGCCTGCCACAACGTCAATGTACAACATATTCGGCAGGTCCTACTCTAACTGCCTAAAGTCTGCTAAATGAGCTACTCACTAGGGAAAATCCTCTCGAATTCTCTGCAGAGCAAGGCCAAGGCCAACAAGGCCAACATCAGTGCATTTAAAATATAGATATACTTGTATACATACAGGTGGTGCTCACTTAATGACCTACCTGTTTTACGACGGCTCACACTTACGACCAGCCCTCTAGCATGGGGATTCAAGTTAGAGAGCTAGTCTATGTTCAGAGAATTTTCCCGAGAAATAGATTAGAGGGATTCCCTGCTCTGGTGCGTTTGTCTACATTTGGGTAAATTTTCCCAAACATATAAAAACGGACCAAAGCAGAGAATCCATCTAACCTATGTTCGGGGAATGTTACCCGAACATAGATTTGAGGGTTTCCCTGCCCTGCTGCGCTTGTCCCCGAACATTGACCTGCACTGGTGCGCATGCTCCGTAGCACATCCTCGCTAAAATTCATTTTATGACCGAGTCGGTAAGTGAGGAGTGCCTGTACTGGCACAATGTAATTTGTGAAGTAAAAAGAGTAATTCTAATACAGAATATTAATTTGTAGAAACAACTGCATTATAATTTGCAGTATAATGCTAATATTATGGGTTATTAGGCCCTACATTTATAGTTTAATAAAATTCCAGCTTTATAAATATATCACAAGACAAAGTAGGGACTACTTTGTTTTATGTGCAAGCCTGAGAATGAAAAAACTTGACAAAATACAAAGCTTACACCAGAATGCTTGGCATTCCCAATAGCCATGCTAGTGATGGCTAGGAAAATTAGACATCTTTGGGGGAATTGAGCAAGTAGCTCTATTGAGGATTCTTGTGGGATCCTCCATTGTCCTCCTTGATGTACACTCATTTAGAAACAAGACATGTCATCAAACTGAATGAGTCGCTTTAAAATTGGAAATCTTATATCAAGGGTAATTATAGCTCAGTAACACACATTCTTTTTTTGAAGTATTTAGAGAATGTTTCTTTTACACATCTGGTTGTTTGGCACAATTTAGTTTTACTTACTGCTGCAAGCTATTACAATTTTAGATTTTATTTTATAATTATCCATAGTAACTAGTGAATCTGTCTGCCCGTCCGTTCGTCCGTCCATTCATCTATCTATCTCATATTTGAGCAGGACCTTCTTCACCTTTTGTCTATGTTAATATTCTGTGTGTCAATTAACTGTGGTCACATATCAGCATTATATAATTGTACAGTACTGCAAAAAAATTTTTGGGTGTTATATAAATAATAATAATGATATAACCCATGCAGAGGCATAAAAACTGTGCTTTTATAACATAACTTCATTGCTTAGGCAACCTGCATAAATTTAGGTTTTGAATCTGAAAAAAATTATAGCTGTGTTTATTTGCGTTTGTAGGAAGATCATTCTGAGCCAAATATATAAATCGTATCTCAGGGGAGCATTGGTACACGCCTGGTCTGCTTTCCACAAGTTAAGTAAGAATTATACTCTCAGACAACAGTTGCTATGAGCAGATGACTTCCTATTGGTGATGAAGTATTTATGGTGCCTGTAGAAATTGAGTGCCAGGTCCCATGTCACTACCAGGCTTTCACACGGTCCCACTTTCAGTAGGATTTCAGTCTCGATTTCAGAGTGCTATTCCTCCATACTGCTTTAGTTTCCTGCATTTGGGGAAACCAAGGAACTGTTTCCTGGTAGCAC